GTAATTTCAGCTGCGATTTTTAATATCTTATTCTAGACATTATCCGACTGGACTGCTAAATGTTCATATATTTTAACCCCTGTGCTATGCTGAAAATCGTTTACCTAATTTACTGATCCTGGTCAAAAATGACTGGCCTTTAGCTCTCATTACGCTATATTATCACTAAATCTTGCATTCAATCTTTTTGGCAACTTGTTTTCTTTTGATTAGCACAGGTCTTGCATTTCTTTTTGAAACTGACTGGTTGTAGGCCTTTGATCTGAGTTTATGCACCTTAGTTTTTGAGAACAAGATGCATTATTTTGGATAATTTTGATAATGTCCACTCAAAAACTGAGGTGCATAAGCTCATATCAATGAGACCTATGATCAGTCAGTTCTGAAAAGAAATACAAAACCTGTGCTAAATGAAGGAAGATAATTTTATTTTTAAAAAATGAATCCAATATATCTCAATATTATAGCATAATTTTTAAGTACAAAAAAAAAAATAGATAAGTTGTTATACCCTGTTTGAGCCAAGTCAGTAACACTTCGCAGTTCCATTGCGATAAAATCAATAGCATCAATATTAGCATATTATTAACATATAATGTTATTAATATTTTCGGGAAAAAGAAAATCCTCATTGATTGTGGCATAATCCCTACTGATTTACTATTTAACTTTAACTGCGACCCTTCTCTAGAAATCCCCCCTCTTTCCACTCTTTGCCCTACATTCTTTTATTCCTACCATAAGGCCTCACTCATCTGATGGAAAAATCTGACTCTCTGACCCATGTTGCTCCGAGTAGAACAGTTCAGTGTGGGAATGCCTGCCAACTCCAGCACTTCACAAGCATGTCTGGGATAAAGCCCAGACATAGCTAACTGCCGTAGACACAACAGGATAACAGAGTGCAATAGGGATGTCCGCTTTTTAAGCGGTCTTGGTTTCAGATGTTTTTCCCATTCACTTTCTTCATTTAAGCTTTTCAAAAAACTTCAATAAAGACACACAAACCAAACCAACCAGATCTGAAATGAAAAAGCATGTGAAAATTAGTTGGGAAAAAAGACAAAAGCACAAGGCTTTTGTTTAAATGAGGAAATGTTTATATATGAAGAGTTCATTTGCAAAAACCGATAACTTGGTTATTTTTTTTCAGAAATCATGTTTGTTTTTTTTATTGTGCATTCCAAGTAATATCAATCAAACTGCAGTTGGGTTGTTTTGATGAAGTAATGATAACTTAAATACAGGTAATTTACAAAATTAAAGTAAATTGAAAGTATGTTTTTTTTACATATTAAAAGTTGGTTTTTCCCTCACCATTGTAACGCGCTGCTTTTGCAAGGTTCCATGAAAATGTTTCAGCTTTTATTTTCCTTTTTTGCCCTGAAGAAGAGGTTCATCAAGTTCGTCTAAATTATCCTCGATCACTTTTAGTCAGCTTTGACGAAACTCCTCTGAGCTAGCACGTCTTTTCAAAGTGAAAGTAGCCTTGTCACCTGACCTGAATAAACCTGCAGTAAAACCTGATTTTATACACTCTATGAGTAAAACATGAACTCGCGATGCCTTGAAAGTGGACAAAACCGGCTTTTTAGACAAAACGTGTTTAGGGTTCAGATCGCGCTATATGTGGAGAATAATGCACGGCAATCAGCTTTTTTTTTTTTTTTAAGTGGGGTTTATCGTTTTTTGCAAATTAACTCTTCATAAAATTTAAATTAAATATTAAATTTTAAATAATAAATACCAAAAATTAAATATTTAAATACCAAAAATTCTAATATTTTTTTAAAACATCAGCTAGTAAAATACTGCAACATGACAATACAAACATCGCGGAGCAGAGGATGGTTTGAAAAAGTTTTTAATCTGTACCAAATCGTATCATGCGTAGTCCGGTCAATGGATTCACATATTCACATTGACGTATTGTCATTTAGATACAAGCATCGGCACAGTGTGTGATACAATAGTGCTTTGAAAACTGCATCAGAGCATCGGAGCCTCGGAGCCTCGGAGCCTCGGAGCCTCATTATAATGTATTCGGTTTGTATCACGGTTTTTGAGTCACGGTCTCGGTACAGTTCGGTATGTGCTATGTTTAGGCAAAAACTATACTGTCAAATAAAAAAAATAACAAAAGAAGAATCTATCTAACTGTAAGCAACAGCACAAATAAATACAATAGAGTAAAGATGCAAAT